CACAACATACCACGGCGTGGAGAATAACGTCAAAGGTTTTTCGACCCGCGTAGCCAATGTTCTACTGACTGCCAGGAAACCTGCTACGCGAAGGTCCTACCATTATAAATGGCAACGATTCTGTTCTTCCCTAGGTGATGATGCCCCTCGAGCCTCCTCCGCAGGCCTTGAGAAAGTTTTCCAATTCCTCCTGTTTGTTACACCTCTACCCTCCTGTCAAGACTCCTGTCGCTCCCTGGGATCTTCCTCTAGTCCTTCATCAACTTACGAGGAAACCCTTTGAGCCACTTGCAACTTGCAATATGAAATTCCTGTCTTGGAAGATGGCCTTTCTAGTGGCCATCACCTCTGCAAGGCGAGTTGGAGAAATACTGGCTTTCCGGCATGACACGCCTTATTTGTCATTCTTGCCAGACAGCGTCCACCTCGTCCCTGACATCTCGTTCCTGCCAAAGGTAGTGTCTGGCCTTTCTAGTGGCCATCACCTCTGCAAGGCGAGTTGGAGAAATACTGGCTTTCCGGCATGACACGCCTTATTTGTCATTCTTGCCAGACAGCGTCCACCTCGTCCCTGACATCTCGTTCCTGCCAAAGGTAGTGTCAGAGTTCCACCTACAGGCAGAGGTCTTCCTCCCGGATTTCTTCCCCGCTCCGAAATCCCCAGAGGACAGACTGTTACATACCTTGGATGTCAAAAGGGCACTACTGTTCTACCTCAACAGAACCTGCCCAACGAGACGTGACTCCCAACTGTTCATCTCATACGCACCAGCAAGACTGGGGACTCGCATCACGGCTCAACGCCTCTCAAAGTAGATTGCAGGTCTCATCCACCTCTGCTTCTTGATTGCAAAGCAGCCGTTGCCTGGCCCCATCAAGACCCATTCAACCCGGGCTGTTGCGGCTTCCACTGCCTTCCTCCAGGGAGTACCCCTGACGGACATCTGCAAGGCTGCTACCTGGGCCACGCCTAACACCTTCATGAGGCATTACACCCTGGACGTCCGTAAGAACTCTAATACCAACATGGGACGTCACATTCTATCTTCGGCGATGCAGTAAGAACCTGCCAGCACCCTCCTCCAGGTAGGCCACTGCTTGCTAATCTCCCATGGGTGTGAAGCACAGAGACCACGTCGAAGATAAACAGGTTGCTTACCTGTAACTAGTGATCTTCAAGTGGTCATCTGTGCATTCACACCACCCGCCCTCCTTCCCCACTGCTGTCAGCTTCTACATTTTCAATAGGAGTTGATTTGCGGCGGTTCGAAGGAGCTGGAGGGATGTCCGTGCCCTCCCCTCTGGGCATGCGCAGTGGGGTTCCTGCGCATGCCTGAGGTCTGGCCGCGAAAATCCGTTGAAAGAGCTTGCTACAATGCCAATTGATCCAGCACGTGCGCACTAGATCCCATGGGTGTGAGTGCACAGATGACCACTCGAAGATCATCAGTTACAGGTAAGCAACCTGTTTTTCTCTATTCTGGACCCAGTCTCCATACATCCATTCCCAGTTGCCCATTTGTCTGGCTCACGTGGCTGAGGAAGCGTTCCAAAATCTGCTTTCATGAAGTGCAAATTACAGAATTTTAGCCTGTTGAGTCACATGTGCTTGCCAGATTCTGTGTCTTAAATATTGTGCACACAGCACTAAGGTGCCCTGGGCTAGCTGTGCCTGTTGCTGTTTCCCAGGAGGGGGCTGTGCTTTGCATTTGAGACCTATGATGGTGACTGCAGAGAAGAGACAGTTGTCTCTGCTGAAAATCATTCGGAGTCCGTTCCTTGGAGGTTATGGCCTCCGCGGTTTTTGTTTTCTCTTAACTCAGGTTTTCTCTTGTGTGTTTTAGGTGGAGGCTTTGAATGGGATGATGACTTCTCCTCTCCAGAGCCCTCTTTCATATGCAAGGCAGCAAACACTCTCATTAATTCCACGCCTTCCCTTCAGACGTCAAAGTATTTCTCCCCTCCGCCGCTGCCTCGAAGCCCTGAGCAAGTCTGGTCGCGTTCTTTACCTTACTCTAGATTCACCGTCTCACCGGCAAACATTGCCAGCTTTTCTCTCACTCACCTTACGGATTCTGATATTGAACAGGGAGGCAAGTATTTTTTCCTTCAAGCGCTACATTGTCCCTTGCATCAGGATTGCTGGAAAATCTTAAAAGGCAGAATTGCTACCCCAAGTTCACCTTGGGGCTCCCCCCCACACACACACACTTTTAAATGGTAGCCTGGTTGATACCTGCTGGAACTTCTGTGGTCCAATTTGGTTCTCTCTCTGTCTCTTTCTCTCATGGGTTTCCTTGAATTCCCTATCCATTCAGGTCACATCTACCCAGTATGTTTCCTCCTGCAGCTGCACTCTTTCTTTCCAACCAGGGTGGCCCAATCAAGGTTGGAGGGGGTGGGGATAGAATGAAGGTCCTGTTAAGGACTGCAGAGTGGGAACGATACAGATCTTTGCTTCCTGGGGTCTCTCACTGCTGGAAATACTAGAGAGCTGCTGCCAGTCAGAGGAGGCTGTGTTGAGCCTTGAGGGATCAGTGGTCAGCCCTGTTACACAGAATCTGGTGTTTGCAATCTTTTTGAGCTAATTTTGTTTGTCAGAAAGAATTCCCAAACCCTTCAGGATGCAGACTATGCCAAGTACAAACACACAAACACTGTGATATGCTGGCTAACGCATTTAGTAAAACATTTTACCATCAATGTATAAATCTTATGTCACATTATAGAGAAGTATATTCTTACAATATTACAAAGAGAAGTCCATCCTCACGATGTTACATCCCCATGCTGTTGCTATGAGCACCCGGATGTAAGCTCGTTTCATCAGAAGTCTTCCTCAGGAGTATTCCTATTGTCTTCAGTGTTATCAGCCTATTCTCTTCAGTGTTATCAGTAGTCTTCCTCAGGAGTATGCCTATTGTCTTCAGTGTTATCAGCCTCTTGTTACAATTCAGTGTTTATATTGGGAGCAAGCCAGATGCAAAAGCCTTCTGAATTTGGCTGGCAAAATGCTCTCTGCAAACCTCAGGAGTATTTTATTTTCTTCAAATTTATCATCCTCTTAATGCCACTTAAGTGTTTATATTAGAAGCAAGCCAGTTCTGAGCCTCTTGTCTAACGAGATGCAAAAGCCTTCTGAATTCTGCCAGCAAAATATAAACCAGTATAAACACTGATTTGTAACAAGAGGCTGATAACGCTGAAGACAGTAGTAATACTCCTGAGGAAGACATTTGCAAAACAAATTTACATCTGGGTGCTTGTAGCAAAATCATGAGGATGGGCTTCTCTTTGTAATATTATAAGAATGTCCTTCTCTATAATGTGATGTAAGATTCATACATTGACTGTAAAATGTTTTACTACATGTGTTAGCCAACATATCACTTTGTTTGTTTGTATTTTCTGTAACAGAAACTATGATCCCAGTTGTTGTTTCTTTTAGCATGCTGAGCAAGCCAGTTCATTGGTGGCCTGTCTGTGTGTATTGTGTGTGTTTATGGTAGAATTAGAACATGGATCTGTTTTGAGTGGCTGCGGTGACCCTGGTCCTGGGGGTGTTGGTACAGGAGTTCATTTTTGGAATTCGGCTAAGTGTCGTTGTTTGCACTTGCACTAGAAGTGCTGATAATACTCTTTGCTTGGTTTTTTATTAATAGAGGCCAGAGTTTCAGATAAGGCACAGCTTTCTCCATGTCCCAAGCGGTGACATTGAAGTGTGTGATTTGGACAGTTGTGCCTGGGAGACTTCCAGGTGTGTCCCTTGGGGGTGGATTTCAGCATTGGAGGGGAATTGTTACTGTGCTTTAGGGTATTTTTTTGAGGGAGGAAAAAAGAGTAAGTCCAGGGGTCCAGCCCTTTGGGAACCACTTGTAGCACAGTGCACCTTGTAGGCATCACGAGATAGTTTGTTCAATAAACTGTGACTATGCAGCAAATCATGGTTAGTCTAGCAGACTGGCACAGTTACACCCTTCTAATCCTGTTGACTTCAGCGGACTTGATGGAGCATAACTATATTTAGGATAGCACTGTAAGTGAGAAATCCTGGTTTGCTTCCAGCAGGGGGAACATCTGCTCAGTACCACGGTTTCTGTGGCTAGGTGACTGCATAATCCTGGTGCTGCTCAACAAACTGGGGTTTGTGGTTTCAGACTAACAAGCCCTAATTTGGGATTCTGGTTTGTTGGATTGTCTGCTCTCAGACGTCGCAACTGACATTTGGGTTTGGCTGCACGATGGTTTACTGTGATGTCTGAACGCAGCTATTGAGGGTAGGTGGGAGTTGCCCCTCCACCACCACAGCAGCTCTGTTGTTTCAAGACCGTTTCCTCATTTCTGTGGAACATGCACAGGAAGAGTTTCCTGGAAAGGCGGCCCAAAGAGAAATCTTTTAGTCTCAAGGAGCTCCTTCGGGAGGTAAAACGTCGAAACATTTTTTGCTGTCTGATGGTTTTGTTTCTTTCCTCACAGGAAGCAGCGAAGATGGCGAGAGAGACTAGGCGGCTGAAGGTGCGCAGTCGTGCTTGCGAGGACACCTGGGGGGAGGGGTGCAGCCTGACAGCCAGCTTAAAAAAAAACACACTCATCTGAAATCGAAGCAGGTCTGCCCAACTGCTCGATTACTGGACTTTGGCAAACGCTGAAGGCGGGTCGGGACCTGAACTTTCAAAGTCGTATGGTACTCTTGTTGTGTATTGTTTTTTGAAACGGGTGCATTTTTGCATTTCCTTAAAACAAACAAACAGACAAAAAGATTACTCCGTGCTGACCCCCTCCCCCTTTCCACTCCCAGTACTTGAAGTATTCTACATAAAACAAGAAAAAAATTGTAAGGAAATATGTAAAATGGTTTATGTTCTGGTTTATATATAGGATTGTATCATACACCCTTTTATATCCATGTATTATTTGTATGAATGTGTAAAATTGTACATAGCTGAGCAGCAGGTGGCTGTTGTCACTCGGAACGCCGTGACTGAGAGCTGTTGTATAGCAAGCCATATTTCTGAGAATCCACCCATTGCTTAACTATCAGGTGCCCTATACTGTATAAAGCCATTCATTTTGCTTCTTGGTTGCTTTGGCCCGTCCAGCTAGCTGCCTTTGTACTTGTTCCTTTCATTTCCTGGGGAGTGCACTTATCGGACCGTTCGGCGCTTGAGTCTTCCTTTTTATATATATATCTAATTTCTGGACATTTTTATGTGATAGTACTGTTTCCTGTGGGGACAGGTTGCCCTCTTCCCATCCCCTTCCCCATGGAGACTACGGAAAGGGCTGACGTCAAGTGCATTCAAATTGCCAAAGGTAGTGCTGTTATGCTACAAGGAACTCGGACCCTGTATAAACGGCATCTTCTGGAGCAGTGTATGCCCTCGCTTGCCAACATACGTGGATGCGGTGCGCTTGGTTCGTCTTTCCCGCCATGGTTGTTTTTGGAAGTGCAGTTGTCCCCGTGCAGTTAATCCCCTCTTCGGACCTTTTGAAATCTTTGCTCAGCTTTTCAGTGGCACTGAGACCTTGCGCGGAAGGCCGGTCTGTCTCTCTCCCCAGATTGCTCACAGAGTGATAAATATTAAACACAGAATACACAACGGAGAACAAAGAGCTTGCAATGGTATGTGGAGTTGCAGGGCAGGTCCTGAACTTTTTTAGGTAATGATTTTAGATGTAGTTTCTTATGGGTTTAGGTGAGGTGACTTAAGCTGTGGAAACTTTCAAATGTATGCTTTTATGTAACAACCACAACAGAGGTTTTCCTATTGGAATTTAATACAGGTATGAGGTTTACGGCAATATTCTAGTTAGAAGAAAATTTCAGGTCAAATTGTCTTTAAAACTGTGTAAATTAAAAAAAGGAATTTATTTCTACTGTACATTTGATCATACATAGAGTGATTCAAGACTGCTTGTAATTTAAAAAAAACCCACCTTATTTAATATTCAAAATAAATTAAAGCTATATATTTATAAATCCAGCATCTTCCTCCATTAATTCTGTTGCCGGCTCCTAAGGACTCGCTGCAGTGCTGTTGGTAATAATGCTCAGTTTTGCAAGACGGCACCAGTACAGGTGTGGCAATCAGCTTGTCGCATTCCGGGCACTTTTATTTTGTGGGTGGTTGAAAATGTTTTCTTAACCCGGCTTCTTAACCCGTTGGATGGATTCATGGTTGGTTGAAAAATCGTACCCAACGAGTGCTCGTAAATGGCTCTGCGTCTACGTGGAGGGAAGTCTCGAGTGGAGTGCTGCAGGGCTCGGTCCAGGCCCGGTGTTATTCAATGTTTTTATAAATGACCTGGAGGAAGACATAGAGGGGATGCTTATCAACTATACAGATGACACAAAGCTAGGTGGGATTGCTAATTCTGAAGAAGACAGAGTCAGGATTCAAAATGATCTAGATAGGCTGGAACAGTGGGCTGAGACAAATAAAATGAATTTCAATAGAGATTAATGCAAAGTCCTACACATGTGAAAGGGATCTAGGTGTTCTGGTTGATCATAAGCTAAACATGAGCCTGCAGTGTGATATGGCTGTGAAGAAAGCTAATGCAATCTTAGGATGCATTAATAGAAGCATTGTGTCCAGATCAAGGGAAGTGTAGTTCTGCTCTATTCTGCTATGGTCAGGCCTCACCTGGAGTGCTGTGTCCAGTTTTGGGCACCACATTTTAAGAAGGATGTTGACAAGCTCGAGCGTGTTCAGAAGAGGGCAACCAGGATGGTGAGAGGGTTGGAATCCAAGTCTTATGAGGAAAGGCTGAAAGAGTTGGGTATGTTTAGCCTGTGAAAGAGAAGGCTTAGAGGGGACATGATTGCAGTCTTCAAGTATTTGAAGGGCTGTCATGTAGAAGATGGAGCAGATCTATTCTCTCTTGCTCCGGATTGCAAGACTAGATCGAATGGGTGGAAATTACAAGGGAATAATTACCGGCTAAATATCAGGAGAAACTTCCTAACTGTAAGAGTGGTTGAGCAGTGGAACAGACTGCCTCGGGAGGTGGTGGATGCTCCTTCGCTGGACGTTTTCAGGCAGAGGCTGGACGACCATCTTTCGGGAATGTTGTAGATCTGTAAGGCTATCTTTCAGCTATGCTCCTGCAGAGTGCAGGGGGTTGGACTAGATGACCTGCAAGGTCCCTTCCAACTCTTAACATTCTATGATTCTATCATGATGAACAGCAGTTTCCAGTTTCTAGTGTGGTGAAGAGGAGGAAAAAAATGACTTTTCTTGTGTCAAGGAAAGCTGGTTACGGAGAGGGCTACGCAGCTACAAATAATAATAATAATAATAAGAGATTGGATTTATACCCCGCCCTTCACTACCCAAAGGTGTCTCAGAGCGGCTTTTCCTTCCCCTCCTCACAACAGACACCCTGTGAGGTAGGTGGGACTGCGAGAGCTCTTGACAGAAACTGCTTGTTTTCAAGAACAGCTCTTATCTTAACTATGGCTTGCCCAAGTTCATCCAGCCAGGTGCAAGTGGAGGAGTGGGGAATCAAACCCGGTTCTCCCAGATTAGAGTCTGCGCACTTAACCACTACACCAAACTGGTGTAATACAACTAGATGAACAGGTTTTGAGACTTAGTCGTGGACCTAGTAGAATGTATTTTTTTTTAACCTCTTCCCTTCTCCTTCTTTCGTGTGTGTTTTCTTTTGGATTTGCTGATGCTCTTCCTCTTTAGATCAGATGAAGAACTCTGTGTGTGTGTGTGTGTGTGTGTGTGTGTGTAGAATACCGCTGGCAAGAAACCTCGGCTTCCCTGGTTGCTCACTCCCGAGGCTGAGCTTTGTGGATCAAGTTTCCTCCTCTGGGCTCAAACAAAGGAATGTTGTGGTTGGCACAGCAGTCTTTCCATCAGAGTTCTGTTGCATCAGTCACAAGACCCTGACATGTCTTCTGGAGGCAGGAGACTGCAAACAGAGGTAAAGACCATTTGAGAGGATGAAAGAGGCCTTCGTCCACCGAACAAAGGAGCAACTGTCTCCCTCCTCTTAGCTCCAGAATTCTCTGTGACTTTTGCAGGCTTGTGCCCGATAATGTCACTTGTGCATCTGTATCTGCAAGAAGGAAGCATGTTTTCTGAGCCTTGCTGAAGCCTTGTGATCTTGACCATAGAACAACCTTTTTTTAAAATCTTGGTTCTCTGTGTAGCAGGGGAGTGAAATAGATAAGTGTACCCAATCTTCTGCTTCATCTTTTCCACATAGGCAGTGGTGGTCAGTGTGGGGGTTATTCCCCTACTTTCCATCTAAGAATTTTGCTGGCATTTCCTAGCATGGAAATGCAGTCTGGTTTAGAGGCATTTATCATCCATGAACGTAGAGCTAAATTTCCTAGGCAGCCTTTTGTGGCGTTGGAGGAGAGTTTTACGGATCCGGCGGACTGCCAAGAAGACAAACCAGTGGGTTCTAGATCAAATCGAGCCTGAACTCTTCCCGGAAGCTAAAATGGGTAAATTGAGGCTATTGCACTCTGGTCACACTATGAGAAGACAAGAGTCACTGGAAAAGTCGATGATGCTAGGAAAAGTTGGAGGCAGTGGGAAAAGAGAATGACCCAACACAAGGTGGATTGACTTCATCAAGGAAGCTGCAGCCCATGGTCTGCAAGACCCGAGCAAAGCTGTTTACGAGAGGGTGTTTTGCAGGTCACTAATTCGTAGGGTCATCACAAGTCACAAGCAGCTTGATGACACTTAACGTGCACACTTTTGTGAGCTGTGGTCATCTTGTAATGACAATGAGACCACCAGAGCTAGGCCTAAGTCCAGTAGTGCCGTAGAGACCAACAAGATTTCCAGGGTGTAAGTTTTCAAAAGTCAAAGCTCCCCCTCGTCCCATCATCATACGCCTTTGTCAGCCTCGGACAAAAAGAGCGTTAACTCTCGAAAGCTCCTACCCTGGGGATCTTTTTGCTCTCTAAGGTGCTCCGGGACTCGAATCTGGCTCTTCTACTGCAGACCAACATGGCTGCCCTCTGGAACTCGCAGGTGAATGTCACGGTCTGCATACTTTGCTTCTAGCAATCCTTTGTGTGCGCAGGCTTCATGGGCCCTGACCAGTGGAAACAATAACACAACGAGTAGCTGTTAAGATCACGAGCCTCTCTTCTTGCGTAACGCAGGGGCAGCAGCGCCAGGATCTTTCTTCCGAATAATCTGTGCAGAGCACCAGCCCACATGGCAGAGCATAGTTCCCTGTCATAATCTTACTATTGCCACACACACATGCACACACACAGACTCGCTTGGCTTATTTGCAAAAGACTTCCCCAGGCCAAACTCCTCCCTTTCCCCCTTGTTCATGCATTAAAGTGACGTGTCCTAGCCCCGGTATAGCAGTCTGCAAGAGAACAGGGAAGCCAAAAGAACTTGCTCTCCTGGATGCCGGTTGCTCACTTGCTTCCAGGCTGTGTCTTTCTGCTGCCCATGCCGGTCCAGCATGGATAGAAATGCCCCTGGCAGTTGCTTCATCGCCAGGTAAGGACACCCGACTTGGCCTTGGCCTTGAATCCATTAAAGCGCCCGCAGGAAATGGCTGGCCACAAAAACGTGGGGGACAACGGTGCGTGAGAAGCGATAGATCATTCACAAAGCTCATTTCAGAGGGCAGCCCTGTTGGTCTGCAATGGAAGAGCTAGATTCAAGTCTAGTCCAATGTTCCTTCTAAGCTGTGGAACCTTGTGAGCAAAATTTCTACTTTGTGAGCCACTGGCATTAAAGTTGTGAGTGAGCGATTTGGCTTCTGCATGAATTAGTTTGCTCTGGAGCCATCTTTCTTGAGCTAAGACAAAAATGTGTGAGCTGGAGGCTAAAAAACTGTGAGCTAGCTCACACTCACTCAGCTTAGAGGGAACACTGGTCCAGTCGCACCTTTAGGGACGAACAAGATTTTCGGGGTATAAGCTTTTGAGTGAATATCTGACGAAGGGAGCTTTGACGCTCGAAAGCTTATACCCTGAAAACCTCGTTGGGTCCCTAAAGTTCCGCCGGTCTCAAAACAAGCAGGTTGTTCACAGAGGACCATGAGCAGGAAAAAGTCTGGATTTTAAAAAACACCTTTTAAAGCATTTCTGCTTCTCCAAATGGGTCCTGGTCTGGAGTTTTAAGTTCTAACCCTTTGGCCGGCTGGGAAAAGTTAACTATGTTCTAAAGCGAAGCTGGGAGGAGAGTGGATCTTCCTTACCTGGAGGAGGGGAGCATGAATGAAAAGAGAAAGAGCCACTGCGGGGGAGGAGGGAACTGGAAGCCAGAGGGCCGTGTCCACACTGTGCAAATATGCATTTAATCTCTGTATCCTATACAGCGGGAACCTGAGTGAAACCAAGCTCCTGGGTGATGGTACTGAAATTTGTCCTACGAATACAACTGGTTGCTTTCACAAATGGTGTTTAAAGAAAGACCTGATGTGTGAAACGGCCCTAAGAGTTGAGGCCCCGGAAGGAGGCATGGGGTTTGCATCCAAGTGAAAGGGGAAGAAATTTGCAGCCCCTTTAAGTTGGTTGACTGGTAATGTCTAGGCCTCTTCACTACCTCCATTAACAATTTGCCCACCCAAAGGACATGACACCCCTTTCTGGGCTAGTCCAGGGTCTTTCGTTGCCCCAAGCAAAAGCATGCATCCCAGCCTTAGCCCGTGGTGCCACCAGCTCGGTCCAGAGCTTGGCAGGCCCAGGAAGGGCGGGGGGCAGCACCAATCAGCTCTCATGCTGCCATGGCAGGGAGTGAATGGTGGACTGGAGACCTTCTCCATGGGCTGCCCCAAGCCCTCACCTGGGTAGCTTTGATGGAGAACTGAGACAGTTTGGTGTAGTGGTTAAGTGCACGGACTTTAATCTGGGAAAACCAGGTTTGATTCCCCACTCCTCCACTTGCACCTGCTGGATGACCTTGGGCAAGCCATAGTTCTGTCAGAGGTGTTCTTGAAAAAGAGCAGTTTCTGTCAGAGCTCTCTCAGCCCCACCTACCTCACAGGGTGTCTGTTGTGGGAAGGGAAAGGAGTTTGTAAGCCGCTCTGAGACTCCTTTGGGTAGTGAAGGGCGGGGTATAAATCCAATCTCCTCCTCTTCCTCCAGTATTTCTCTCTTTCCCATGGTTTCACAGGCAGCCTGAGGAGTTGTCAGAGGTCTGATGAAGCTCCTGCAGGCCTGTTGAGCTGGGATTTTGCTCTTTGATGCATGGGTGATGGAGAAAAAAGGGGATTGAATCCAGCGAGTTGATCCTTAATATTTATCGTAGAACGCATCAGCAATAAGTAAGACTTAAGGGGGAGGGGTTAGCTATGCTCAAGGCTGAATTTCAGAAGTACCTCACTTCATTTTTAAAAAAAGAGAATGCCAGTTTTTGAAGTGCAATTTGGCTCTAGGTCAAACACACCTTATGCACTAC